AGGAAAAACTTCCCTTCCAAGTCCCACAGGCTGATTTAGCTCACCCACCGCTGAAGGTGAGGTGCAGGTTAGAGCCCCCTTCATGATATTGAAGAGACACCCCCTCGAGAGCAAGATGCAGGCCGAGATGGAGCTGGGAGCCAACGCAAAGATGCAACCCATAGATTTGGTACCACCAGAAATTGGAACACATTGATTCCACTTGCTCCCGTCCTTTGATTCAGGGCCCTAATATTTATGCGACCTCAAATTTTATGAAAGAAACTTCTACTTCAAGTGACAAGTACTTCTTTTGTTCATAAATTTGAAACATCACTCTATCCCATAACTGTTGTTCCTTTTGTGGATTCCAAATTTTTAAGTGGGCATGCAATTATTGTTGACTTTAAGAGAAAATCAAATCAAGAGTAAAGTATAAAAAGAAGAAAAAAAGAAGAAAGAGGAGGAGAGAGAGAGAGATTGAGAAAGAGAGAAAGAATGAAAGAATTCTTTCTTTCTTCCACCACATTCTATTTATACTAACTAGTTTCAGAAATTACACATAAGCAGCAACCAACATTATACAAGTAATAACAAATAAGCCCCTGACAACACTCCCCCCTCAAGCTGGTGCAAAGATATCTATCATGCCCAGCTTGACTAACATCTCTTGCAAGCAAGTCTTGCTCACACCCTTAGTCAAAATATCAGCAACTTGATCATGTGTGTTGCCATATGGGGTACAAATCAGCCCAAGACAAAGCTTTTCCTTGATAAAGTGTCGACCGACTTCAGTGTGCTTTGTCCTGTCATGTTGAACTGGATTGGCTGCAGTGATGGGCTGGTACATGTTCATTTCCTCACAAATACCCATGGCTTTTGAAAAATACTCTTCCAATGATTGGTTACCCTGCTCAAGACTGAAAAATTGTCTGCACACATCGTAAATGCGAGTAATATTACCAGTGCCAGAGTGCAATTGCATTAGACGGTCCCATATATCCTTGGCAGTATTCAGGTAAAGTAGATTTGAGCTAATCTGGGGTTCAATACTTGTGAACATTAGAGACATAATTTGTGCATCCTTCTGTTCCCAGGTGCTGAAATCAGAATCACTTTCCTTGGGCTTATCCTTAATCGGATGACTACCAAGTCCTTTGGACTTGAGAAAATTTTCAACAGACTTGGCCCATAAAGTATAATATTTACCATTTAGTTTCACAGAGGTCATGGGAGGGTTAAATGAAGTCGTGGATAAGAAAGGGTCTGAACTTGATGCCATGGCGATGAACTGATAATGATAGACCAACCAAGGTCTAAAAGTAGGAGGAAGGCGAACCAAAGCAGTTTTACTGACCTTAATCACAGAGAGAAGATAAAGAAACTGATTGAAGAAGATGTAGCACTAGACAAAAAGTCGAATTGAATCCGGTTTTAATCTTACAGCTCGGGTCGGTTTGCCATCTGCATAACAAACCCACCACGCACTGAAAGCCCTAGATACAAACACTTCAGAGTCCGTCGGCCACAACAATTTCTACCACCAACAACCAACACTCTCACTGTCCGACGACCATCAGACAAACACCAAACAATGACAACCTGAAAAGAACTCTCACCCGTGATGATCAAACAACGCAAACCAGAAATCAAATAACGCATCCAGAAACCAAACAATGACCACACTACGATCACCAGAAACTAGTTTCGACAACCTCCACATCGTGAATCGATCGATAATGAAGAAAGAACAAATTGATTGGCAATGAATCTCACGATGAGACCAGCGATGATTACAGGTGATGAAATGATTGGAGAACTGGAGAAGTATGACACCAAAAGGGAAAAAAAATAAAAAATAAAAAATAAACACCTACCCAGGGTCAAGCATACCATGTAGAATTTAGGGTTAATAGATTAGGAGATTAAATGAAAGAAAGAACTAGTAGAAAAAGATAGGAGAAAACTGGGAACTGGTTTGAGAGCATATCTCATCTCTCTCAGCCCAATATCTTACATATATACATAAGAATAAAGAGTACATCGAAAAGACTAAGATAGCCATGTGGGGTAATCTAATTACATATGTGTCCCATTATTACTTTAACAGTGTTCAAGACTACATCTCTCTTAATCTCATAAGTCTCAACCCAAAACCTATGTATCTATTGATAGAGTTCCAAACCAAATTCCTTGTTGGACATAATACAACTCTAAAATACAACTCTAAAATAGAAACATAATTAGAATAGGAATTTGAGACACAATTTCCAACAATATAATTGCCCCATTCAGGTGAAAGAAATATATGCCAAAGTGTCTTCTGTTATTCATGACAATTTATGGATTTGGCCTAATGTTAATACTGCTGAGATTGCATTTCTAAAGGATTGCATGCCTAATGAGCCTCCTGCTTCCAGCAGCAGCGACAAGCTCATTTGGTGTCCTACTAATGGTGTTTTTTCCACCTAGTCTGCCTGGGAAAAGATCAAACCTAAGAAGGTCAAGGTTCCTTGCTGTAAATTTGTGTGATTTATGAATGGTATTCCAAAACACCCTTTCATCATGTGGTTAGCTCTGCACAATCATCTAATGACTCAGAAAAGGATACTTGCTATGGGTATTATCATAAATCTAAAATGTGTGTTCTGCAGAGAGGTCATTGAAGATAGAGATCATTTACTTTTCAAATGTCTTTCACTAGTAGGCTCTGGTCTGCCATTTCTGGGAAGGGTACTATGCAATGGCCTTCTTTTGAGTGGTAAAATCTAGTCAATTGGACTGTGCTATGGCTTTTAAGAACCATTTTTCCATGGCTGATATCAACAAACTTATGTTTGCAGCAGGGCCGGCTGAACTTATAGGCCATTCAGGCAATGGCCCAAGGCTCCCACTAAAAAAATTCTCCATCTTTTTTATGGTAATTTTCTTAATGCTTAATATATACTTTCTCCAATATTTTGTTTTAATGGGTCCTTTATAAAAATACAAAGTTAAACGCTTTAAATGATGTAACAAATGTACAGTTTCTATTTTTATTGTTACGCTTCTGCCATTTTTTTTTCCCTTTTTCAATTATTTTGAAATTCTTTTCAGTTGCTAACATTAACTAGATATTATCTGATTCAAATAACTTGAAGAACCTAAATTCTTTAAGTTTCTTTGTTTTGCAACAATAAAGTCAGGATTTAGTAGTACAAGTTGTAATAAAATCCTGAGGAAGAAAACTAAATTACAATATTTCGGCTAAAAACTGAGGAAAAAGAAAAGGATATAGTGGCAATAAAAAAAAATCTCATGGGCGGCAGCCAAAATTGAAGCATACTAGAAGACTCCACCGTCTAGTAGTCAAACAAAAGGGTGTGTATCACTAGGGATCCCAAAGTAAGGTCATCTCTCTCAAAAATCTTATTCTTCCCTCTACCTTTTACCGAAAATATTTCAAGTGATTTTGTCATACTTGTCAGTCCCAATATGAATTTTATGTTACTAATATGATGGCTGACAAGATGAACAAAACATACATAAAGAATTACAATATATCTAATCATGTCATTCTTCAAAGCATTATTTAAACATCTCGCCTTAGGTCTCACATAGTATTGAGCCTTCCCTGGTTTGCAGCCACTACCACTTCATTTGGGAAGAGAAAAAAAGAAGAATACTTGCTAATGATTTTAAAGACATTTTGTCCTTGGAAACTGCTATTTGTGATTCTGTGAGATTCAGAGCCTTTTCCTCTACCAAGGTTGAGGCCTTTATGTCTAATAGGTGGGTGGTTAGAGTGTGGGACTTGCCTCTGAGAGTTTCTTTATCACAACTGATATGATCCTGTTTTAATTCATTATTTGTCTCAAGACATCCAGAACCTCTACCAAATGATCAAAGCTAATGTATTAGATTTCCTGGAAAGATATTCATGCATCCTAGTATTTATCTCAGTCCAGATATGAAACAGAGCAGTGGAGAACGAACTCCTACAGAATTTACTTCTCTGAGCAGTTCAGTTATCATAAACAGGTTTAGGGTCCTATTGCTGCTATTTTTTCTGGTGGGTTTGGCGGCTTCCATGAGATGTATTAAAGGTATGCCCCTTTGAATTTTTGGAATTTGGCTTTCACCTTTGGTTATTGAATTTATCATCTTACCTATCAAAAAATAAATAAATAAATAAAATAATACATTGTATTTTTGGGGAACCAATTATTTCCTCAAATGTTTGGGGCAATATGGGTAAAAGTTTCATTGTAACTAGGGAAAAAAAGAAAAAAAAAGTTTCATTGTCATTTCCCCCCACTGCCCCATCCTCCAGCACACACACACACACACTCTCTCTCTCTCTCTTTCCCTCTCTGATTGACAACCAAAAAGTATTATGCATGACAAAGAAGAATATAGTGTAAGAAGAATGAACGTGTGTGTGTGTGTGCGCGCGCGCGCGTGCGTGTGAGAGAGAGAGTGATGCAGTCAGTTGTGTCTTAAAAAGGTGTCTAGTCAGAATTAATGCAGTCAATAGTGTCTAGTCAAAGAGTTAATTATGGCATGGGAAATCTGAAGATGTCATGGGAATAGTAGAAGTTATTAATGCTTTGCGGGAAGCGTAAAAATAAGGCTAGAGAAGTGAAGTGTCATTAATAGGTTTATTATAAGGACAGCCCCTCTAATCTGCTCTCACCAAGTCTTAAATAAGTATAATTTTGAGATATCCGTTTATAAAGTATTCCGCAGGCTTTTCCCAGATTTCCTTTAGAAATCTAGACTCCAACGGTGATTGGAGTAACCCGATTCTTTTTTAGTGCTGTAAGAAGACTTCTGTTTTCCTTTTTCTGTTTGCTTCAAAGAGAGACAGAGGGAGAGAAGAAAAAGGCATGCCAACACAACAAACAGGAAAAATCAAACTTCTGAAGCATTATTCAAGAATATAACAATTACCAACCATGAACCACCCAGATCAAACAAACAAAACTAGATACACAATTCAGTCATATTAGAAGCATTTGAAAGCAATTACATAGACATACCTTTGATCAAGCGAGACTAATTCACATATTTCAATGTTTTTCATCCAATCCATTTCAGTTAGTTTCTCACTTGTCGCGGAATTGACAAGTTCAGATGCCATTTTTTTCATACTTCTGAATGTGAGAAACAAAAAAGTAAGGACATTTTTTACGACTTCATCAAACAAATTTAACAGAAGTGTAACCTATAATGTTCTTGTTCAAAAGATGTAAATCATGTTTCCAAAGATATCAACGGAAAAATTAATTGCAACCTGAAGCTCAATTGTGCATAAACAACTCAAAAACTTGAAGCCTCACATACACAAATCATGCAATAGAAACACTATTTATGAAGCATCATCATAGTTAGTCAACAAACATATTTAATGAGCCTAGAAAGTTTCACTCCTCACAACGTCAGAGTGCTGAGTTCAAGGAGACTGTTTTTCAGATTGCATGCCCACAATGATACAAATATTAGAATACCGTCAGTATAAGTTGTAGAATTCAAAATTTTTGTGATTCATTATCTGATATGCCCCCTCCTAACCAACAATAAATATAAATTCATCCTAGGACTAACCAAAACAAGCTTGGGTAAATATCATATCATGTGAAACAAAATATGAAATATAAATGTTAAGATAAAGCATCAAAGTTAAAAGTCTTGCTTAGGTTGTTTGGATTAGAGTATTTTATCATATGATTTAATAACCTGTGAAATTCAAGACCAAGAGAAAAGATCACATTGACATGATCTTCAAGCTCCTAAATTATACACTTCAGAAAGACAAGTGATCAAGAGAACGTAATTCATTTAGTTCATTTTGATGGCTTAGAAGTTCTATAAGTAATCCTTCAAAGTTGGCAAAATTTGGTTTGGAATTAACTCAGATGTAATTTGGAACTGAATTTTAAATAAGTTTGGAACTAATTTGGGATAAATTAGGATGTTGGATTGAATTTGAGTCGATTTGGAAAAAAATCGAAAGCTTTAAATTTGATTTTGGAACTTGGAATTTTAATTTTAATTAAAACAAAGTATATGGTAATCAGAAAGCAGCAGTTGACAGGGACCTTCTTCTGTCAATGATCAAAACATTGCTTACAAACATTTTCATGCTTTTAGGGTTACGACAAGAATATAAAGTTAAGGACTGATCCTCAGCTATTGTGTACTGACTCTTAAGTGGCCAGAATGTCAACGATCAATTCTCATACTGTCCAGACCAATCCTTGGTGTCTAGAAGTGGAAAATACAAATTTCCAAATCTAAATTAGTTTCTAATCTTCCAAAAACTATCCAAAATATTCCTAATTGATGCCAAATCATTCTAAGGCTATTAAAACAACTAGCACTCTTCAAAACATTAAGAGAATAAAAAATATATGAGAATAAAAGTTGAAGCATAAAAGAATTTACAGAGAGTTCTTTGAGAGTTTCAGAAGAACAACATAGGTTTTCAGAAGCGCCACTCATCTTGTATGATTGTTCTTTATCGCAATTTTTTTTTTTTTTTTTGGATAAGTAAGATTGTATTAGAAAGCGTTCAAAAGGGAAATGCATACCGGAAGCTAATTGTTCTTTATGGCACTTTATAGAAGATTTGAAGATCATCAATAGCAATCACCATCTATCGCATCTTCCCATCTCTATTTGAAGATGCTACTCATTGAGCATGGTGTGTCACTGCATAGAAAAGGTTGTAGTAAAACACGGAGACTCATTTTTGCCTACCAGTCGTAGAGGAGCAAGAGTTGGTTGATGATTAATGTAAAGAAAGATGGATTGGCTTGGAGACAGGTTAATTGATCAGACAGCAAGTGTATTTGTTACAACAAGGGCCAGTAATTAGACCAAGTTAAATCAATTTGGGTGATTCTTGCATAAGATTATGTAACTTGAATTCTTCTCAAAGTGGTTGGTTGGCATCTACAATAGGTCTAGTGGTTTTTCCCTATTGGAATTTCCCACCAAGAATCTATTATCTTCTTTATTTCTTTATAGCTTGCTTGATTCCACGATTCACCTGATTGTATGCTTGGTTTGATTTATCATGCATAAATTCTTCTTCTTCTTTCTTTCTTTTCTTATCTTTGTGTGTGTGTGTTAGGTAAGTACACACACGTAAATTGCCCACTACAGGACTTTAACTCCTCGCCTTCCATTTGAGGAAGTAGAGGTTATACCATTGGGCTAATGGCCCATTAGTTTATCATACAAAACTTGATTCTTGATAAGTCATCATGTAGGGATTCCCATGCCACTTCCATTCCTTTCAATTGAGATGCCATATCATTCGTCTCATGTTAGGCCGAACTACAACATGTTATTGACCTCTTCCATATGAAATATAAAACAAGATATTGCATATATTTTACAATAGTCTATCACCATTGGAGAAAAACCCTGTGTTCTTTATTTCAATCATCTCACTTGTTGAATGCCCGATGCTCCACTGGGTTGATCATCACTAGTTATGTTTTAATTGTCTCACAATATTCAACCCTACACAGTGCTAATTCTGAATTAAATGTTTCATAATGTACCAAACATCTATTATGCACTATGTCACCATTAATATGAAGTACAAGTTGGCTCTTACATAATCTTCATCAAATTAAGAATATGCATTTCACACATCAAATTGAAGACCATGGCTCTCATACCAATTGCGATCATACAAGTCATTTGCTAATTTGCCCATTAAGATTCAATTTGATGCACAAAAAATAAATAAATAAATAAAAATAAAAAATAAAAAAATTAAAATTCCATTATTGATGCAAAGAAAATCAATCTTACCTTGGTTCATGATACCAAAAGAACTTGTAACCTTAATGTTTGAAATCTGGTTCAATTTCACTGGTTTTCCAGTGTGAAGTTTCTCATTCAGCAAAAACACCTAAATTGGCTATAACTCAGTCTAAAGAAGTCTGAATGAGTGTGGTATTTTCTGTTAGAAAGTAGACTCAAACCTTTCCAACCTATATGGATTAGCATCTAGTTCTGTTTCTACTGAGTTCAGCTGGACCTCAAATTTGACCCAAAAACTAATTCTGCATAAGTAAGATCCTGAAACCACTTCTCTCTCTATAGCTGATGGGTGCTAGGTGTGGTGTTCCCTTATTCAAGAGCGTATGGTTTTGAGTAGTCTTCTCATCAAAGACCTTAGTTTTCTGCCGTGAAGAAGACCACCACAAGTTACACCTTTTCATATTTTTCCATATAGCTCTTCATAAATTGAGCAAAACTCCAACAACATAACAGAGTGTTATTCACATTGAGTAGTGGAAGAGTTTAACGTGGGTAAAAGTGTGCTTGTCCCTATGGGGGGAGGTTCAAGAGGTGACTTCACTTGCTGCAGTTCTAGGATGTGGGACGAGTCCTTTCCTATTGTTTATCTGGATTTGCCTTTGGGTGCTTCGTCCAGGAGGGTGGATGTTTGGGATCCAGTGATGCAACGGTTCGAGAATAGATTGGCTGGATGGAAGAAGCAATATCTTTCGAAGGGCGGGAAGGTCACTCTTGTGAAGAGCACCTTGTATAGTTTCCCAACATACTTCCTATCCCTCTTTCAGATCCTGTGCACTATTGCTGAAAGACTCGAGAATCTCCAACAGAATTTTCTCTGGGCTAGTCGGGGTGAGGAGTTCAAGTATCATCTTGTCAGGTGGGAGCATGTTTGCAGGCCTCTTTAGATGGGCGGTCTTGGTATTAGGAGGCTGATCCCCTTTAATAGGGCTTCTTGGGAAGTGGTTATGGAGATTTGGTAGTGAGAGATATCGTTTATGGAGGACAAAGGGGGATGGTATTCCAGGTTGGTTAGATCTGTTGCTGGCGTGGGAGTGTGGAAAATCATTCAAAAGGGTTGGGACGAGCTCTCTAAGCATGTTAGGTTCAAAGTTTGTGAGGGCATGGATATCCGATTCTGGGAGGATTCTTGGTGTGGTGATCGCCCGTTGTCTCGTTTGTTTCCAAGACTTTTTTGGATTGCTGCGGAGAGACATGCTATAGTAGTGGACTGTTATTGGCTTGATTTTTTTATATAAGTAAAATGTATAAAAAAACGCTCAAAAGGGGAGTGTATCCCGACGGGACAGTTATCGGCTTGATAAAGGAAGGCTTACGTGGGATGTGTGTTTTCGGCGTTCCTTTCAGGATTGGGAACTTGATGACGTCTTTGGCCTGTTGGATCTTGTGTATAGCCAGGAAATGGATGACGTTCCTTTCAGTTTGGAACCCTCTCCTCAGGAGAGGTTTGATGTACGTTCTTTGTTCCTTTGCCCCACCCTTTTTCATGGTTCAAATTTCCCATGGAAGACGGTTTGGCGTTCAAAGGCCCCTCACAGGTGGCCTTTTTTGTTTGAACTGCAGCTTGGGGCAAGATTCTGACTATGGTCAATTTGAGAAAGAGAAGACAGATCTCAGTCAACTGGTGTTGTATGTGTAAAAATGATGGAGAGTCTGTGGATCACCTTCTTTTCTATTGCCCTGTGGCTTATGATTGCTGGAGTCAATTTTTTGGTCTTTTTGGCATTCATTGGGTTATGCCTCAGTCTTCAAGGGAGTTGATTGACGTTTGGAGGGGCCAGAGGATGAGGACTCACGCTCTTGACAAAGGGTGACCCCTTTGTGTTTGGTGGAGCATTTGGAAAAAGCGAAATAAAAGATCTTTTGATGGAGAGGAAACCTCCATTGGGGCGATGAAATTTTCTATTATTAGTTCTCTTTTTAGTTAAGTGATGAAGAGAAATTGTATAGCTTTAGATGAAATCATGGACTTTTTGGGTTCTTTGGGTCGATAGGACTTTTCTTTTAGTTTTGTTCCTTGTATATCTCTTGGGATGTGTTCCCCTTTTGAACGTTTTCTAATACAATTTTATTTATCAAAAAAAAAAAGTAGTGGAAGAGTTTAATTCGCATTTGTAGCAACCCTTGTCGCTGTCACACTTCTTGGTCTTCCAAACAATTGGTGCACTTAAACTTCATAATTAGATCGCCTTCCAATTAATTCCACAAAACCATCTTCACGGAAGAATCTAGTACAGAGTTAATGACAATCATGTAAATGTCACACTAAGGAGTAAATTACTAACAGTTTTTGTTCCCTAAAGAATTGAAAAACCTAAAATCAAATGAACCTGATAATTGAATTAGGCTTACTTGTACACTATCTTTTCCCAATTTGTTCTTTTTCTTTTTGTCATTTCCCCCGACATTTTGCAGCAAATTAGTGAAGTGTCATAACATTTTCAACTCCACTTGATTGTCATCGTTCAAAAGTTGAATTTAAAATAAATAAATTAAAAATTAAAAAATGGCGTTTGTTTTCCCAATTGTTATCTTCTTACCTAAATTTTTCTAGCAACAAAACAGGGCACTATAATAGTTTTCTGAGAAATTCAACCTATTAATTACCCAACTAGAAGCTGAAATATCCCACAGCTTAAAAAGTGAGTTACTTTCAGACTACAAACGAACAAGCAAGATAGATAGATACATACATATATATAGAGCGAGCAAAAATGTATATGATCTGAAGGGAAATCAAAATTGAAGATCAAATCTGTGAAATACATAAAGCCCATATGAATTTCAATAATAATAAATAAATAAATAAACAACAGAAAAATGAGTACTAATCTGAAGAGCCACTTACCAGTAAAGCCCGAGAGGAACAAGAACCACTTCAATGAAAGAGAGAGCTTCACCAATTGGATGTATACGTATATAACTCTGCATCAAAAAGAGAATCTAAAGAGATAGATTAATGGAATTTTTCTTTTTTTATGAGTACTAATCTGAAGAGCCACTTACCAGTAAAGCCCGAGAGGAACAAGAACCACTTCAATGAAAGAGAGAGGCTTCACCAATTGGATTGGATGTATACGTATATAACTCTGTATCAAAAAGAGAATCTAAAAAGATAGATTAATGGAATTTTTCTTTTTTTTCTTTTTTTTTTTCTTTTTTTTTTTAACCCTTTTTGCTTTTCCTTTTGCTTCCTCTGAGCTTTGAAGTATATAATATAATATAATATCAATATTTTAATATTTAATATATAATATATAATATATATAGATGATTATAGTGTCTCTCTTTCCTACATGCGTGTGCGACAGGTTGTCTACTGAATATAAGAACTGGTGTGTTTTCATTCATCAGGTTGTTCACTTAACAGTTCAGAAATTGATGGTTTTGGACAACGGCCATAGAACAATCTAGAGAGCGACAGACACACACCACCACAAACACGCACCATACTGAGTAATGAGTAAATTACCTGCGGGTGATCTTCAAGGGTTCACTTTGGGCTCAATGTAGGACACGTGGAATAAAGGCCACCGGAGAGACGTCTTTCCCACTCTCTCTCTTGCTTTAATACTTGAGATGAGAAATCACATTCGGTAAAGATGTTAATAAAATCACATTGTTTCCACCTGACTCATCTTTTTGCAGGAGCTTTGAATCTCAAGTCATAACCCAACGTTGTGACTTGCGCAGGTCCAGCTCGAGCCTTCGGTGACCGCCAAGGACCGTAACAATGAAAAGCCTTCAAAATTTTAAAAAAATTTAATATATATATTAAGTTATATTATAATTATTTTTTAATATGTTTAAATTCTAAAAAATATAAAAAAATTTATATTAGACTATTTATATTATAACATAACTTTTTTTTTTTTTCCTCTTGTCACTCATTTCATTTTATATTAGGCCTCAAATATTTCTATCTTAAAATAACTTCTTCTTTTTTTCTTTTCTCACTCTCCTCATTCATTTTGATTTTATATTAGACCTCAAATATTTATATCCTAAAATAACTTTTATTTTTTCTCTTTTATCTCTCCTCTCTCGTTCAACTCTAATTGATACATAAATTTACATCCTTACATAACTTTTTTTTCCTTCCTTTTTCTACTCTCATTCACATTTTACAATAAATCCTAATCAATATAGAAATTTAATATTAAGTACCAAAAAAATATTTTTGATTAAGTTAAACAATAAAATATTAAATATCTGTTGTTTGGAAAAATAGCCAAAACTTTCCATATATATATATATATATATTACGTTTTATCTTCTTCTTTTCAACAAGCCTTTTCCTCCCACTCTCATTACAAGTTTACCATTGTTATAATTTTTATTCTATTGAAAAATTTGTACAAGGATTGAATTTGGGTTTTTTAAATCAGGTTCAATGGTTTTTTTTCTTTAATTATTTTTTAATTTTATTAATTTTTGTTATTATAAATTTGTGTGCATATATATTTGTATATTTTGTTTTTAAGTTGTGACTAATTTTATTTATATTGTTGAAAAATCACTTTTTATTTTTTGGCCTAAAGTCCCAAATTAGGTTGAGCGGCCCTGGACTTGCAATGTATTTGGAGCTCTTTGGGGTCAAATATCATTTAATACAATTAAATTAAAAATACAATACATCGTAATAAAATTAAATTAATAATACAAAATTAGTAAATTGATGGTCAAAGAGTTTTCTTTGTTGTACCCTAATGTAATGCTGTTGTGTGTTTTTTACAATTTCAAAGTAATTGTGTTTTATCAATATTTATGTTCTCAATCTAAATTATATTGAAGAGAAGTTGAAGATGACTATTATATGATGGGCAAAAATTATGGACTATCATTTATTAAAATTACTGATTTGTGTTTGTCTTAGTGACTTTGGATTTGATCTCTCAATCAAGGTTTCAAAATCGATAGAAAAAAGCGAAAGATTAAAAAAAAAAAAAAAAAAAAAAAAAAAAAAAAAAAAAAAAACGTTTATATAAATAATATTTTGATACCAACCAAAAAACAAAATTTGACTAATAAGTGTTGTGGATCTCTTGTGGGGATTTATTGACTCCCAAATTGGGCAGTACCCCCCGCTTGACATGTGTGTCAATAGGCATAAGCCACGAGAAAGTTTGTACAATGCGAATTTTAGAAATTGAAGCAAATAAGGTCTTGTTTGGCAACTGTTTCAAATTTTCTTTTTTTTTTTACGCTTCAAATAGTGTTGCGTAACGAAACAAAATATGAAATGTTTGATACGATTTAAATAGTATTGAAATATTTCCAAAAACAAAGCCAAAACAAGAAGTACCAAATTGGTATATCTAGTTGCTTCCGTATTATAGCAAAAAAACTAAAGCGATAGATAGTAAAAATTAAAATTAAAATAACCTTTTTAATTAGCCATTTTATTTTTCAAACTTGTAATACTTTTTTTATTAAACACGTCTTCAAGTTTTTGCTTCTAATAATCTTTCCAGCAAATATAATATTACCAAATATGTTTCTGATTACTCAGGGTTGGCCCTAGGGCAAGGCGACTAAAGCAGTCATTTAGGGCCTCCAATTTGGAAAGGCCTCAAATTTAGGATTATAGTGCAATTATAGTAGTATATGTCTAACATTTAAGTCATAATTTTCATAATTAAAAAACAATACATACTTATCATGTAAATTTATAGCAATAAAAAACTTTTAAAAAAAATTTATGGCAATTTTTAGAGTATGGGTTGGGTTTGTCCCAGACCCACAACCTGTGGAGCATCCACATTATTTGAATTCTAACTTTAGAATTCAAAATATAACAAGGGTGATAAGATAACAGAATCTTATCACATCCATGGGTTGTTATTATCATGAAAATTAAAATGAATTACATCGATTATATAATTCTGATATATAGGATCAGATGAAAAGGGGTTTTTTTGGAAGTTTCTTTGTTTTACTTTCTCTCATCACCCTCTGTATCTGGTAGCCATCAACCATAGGATTTGGATTGTGGAAAAGATATAGAGGACTCTGGTAGCCGCTCTATCGACGAGTAATACGATTAACAACTCTGTGACGGCCCTAGTTTTTTAAGCCAATGCATCCTGTGAAGACCCGAAGTTTAACCAGATAATGGATCCGAATGCGGAAATGAAAACAGAATCAAGGTCTCTAGGGATGTACATTGTCCCTAAGACATCTAAGTGACCTTCCATGAGGCTACAGAATTCAACGAGAATGAACGTGGAAGCAAAAAGTTGAAAATAGACCAAGTATGGCCCCAAGGGCAAAATGGACTTTTCACACATAATCAAAGTCTCTTGAGATGTACGTCATCCTTAAGACATAAACGTGACTTCTCATGAAGTCAAGGGACTCAAAGAGACAAATTGCAGAAGCGACGTTTTAAAAACGGACGAGTTTAGCTCTAGGGGCAAAATGCTAATTTCCATAAAGATATAGGTGCTACTGAGCACACCATTGGATAAACGACAAAAAATTAATGAACTTAGACTCAAGAATTACATGATTCGGAGTCCGGACGAAGAAATGAAGTCAAAAACAAAAGTTGGAGTCAAGGCGGTCAAAGGGGCACCAAGGCAGCCTTCCACACGCGCGCGCTGTGCGCGTGGCACACAACTGACTGCAGAAAGCCACTAGCACTGAATTTATAGAACAATGTGCAATTTTGGACCCTTAAATGATTTTTTTTTTTGAAAAATACAAAGAAGAAACCCCTCTTAAAATCATGTTTTCTAGCTAACTATATCAAAAGAAAATTTTAATTTTGATGTAAAATTCCCAAAATGCCCCCTTATGCTCAGTTTTGACAAAAAACGTAAAAATAGAATTGCTTCAAGTGTTCAAATAGTCAATTGTGAAGTTGTGTGTTAAAACGATTGTGCACGCAAACGTAATAAGTGTTTTAAAACGTACGGGAATGGTCCGTGACCCCCAAATATGCCCGATAAAAAATACGATCTATCAAACCTCAAATTTGCCTAAAATAACATTTAAAGGAAAAACTTGAAACCAAAATACATGGATGCATTCAAAAGACCGTTTAGCCCTTGGCCACACTTCATGCATATTAAATGAGTCCTAATGAGTGTGCTCGTGCACACTTTACACCATCTGAATTGAAAATGACAACTTAAAACTTTATATTTTCCTATTTTTCAATAATTATACAAGAAACCAAAAATACTTAAAAGAAACAACTTAAAAGTAAATGGCTCTTAGCCTTATTACATACATTTTAAATAAGCCTCAAATAGTGTATCTAAGTACACTTTATAAGTTTCAATGTAAATGCGACATATTGAACCTAACTAAGTATTACAACTTTAAATATAAAACTTAAACATGTTAACACTTGCATGTGAGCAAAATACATTAAAAGTACTTCAAATTAACTAAACAACCTAGGGATATTGTACATCCCGAAACCACGTCTCCTTCCCTGAAACAAATTGCATTCAGTGGGGTGAGTAACTTACATTACTCGTAAGGGATGAGCATACATAAACCTAAGTTTTGCAAGTTAATATAAATTGATTCATGTGATTCATGCCACATAACGTCTATGTCTAAAACTAAAGGAGCATCATAAGTTACCTTAAAGCATTTCTAGCATAAATCACAATATTCATGCAATTCAAAAAAATTGGAGCATACAACACAGTGCAACAAGATATAGATTATCAAAGTTATAAACATGAAATCTAAAATGCGAAAACAACTAAATGATACAGTTAACATAATTGGAACTTCCAATATAACGCAATAAGATATAGATTATCAAAGTTATCAACTTAGAATCTAAAATGCGAAAACAACTAAAGTGATTCATGCCGCCTAATGTCTATGTTCCAAGGTGAACTAATAGATCATCTCAACTACACCAGTTATTGAAATGATAAATCCAAGGCATACAAGTATACAAACGCAGGTATACTAAGCCGTAAAGAGAATTTAAGCATCAAATCACAAGCTACAAATAATCCATGATTAACAATTTGGAATTGAATGCAAAATCAAATAGTGGAAAGACTTGGACATCACGTCGGATCAGACCGAACGACATAGCTGATTTGGGTTACTAACCCGCAGAGAACTACCCAAGTGCGCACATGTGGGAAGAGCTAATCTTTCGCCCTAGAGCCATACTCTAGTCATATTCAAAACAGACGACATCCTAAGTTTCCAAAATTTACAAATTGTGCAACAACGTATATATATCAACATGTATATACAAGGTAATAAACTATTTATCATGCACAAACCAATTTTGGAAACACACAATACATGTTCTAAGTTCACAACTACAATGGCATGTAAAATGTCGAATCTTCAAAGTGCGATTCGTTACACGTACAAGGCATATAAATGTCAAATCTTCAGTGTGCAATTCGTTACACGCA